TTATGACTGACATTATGAAAAGAAAGTTCGTTGCCCTTGAAATTTCGGGCAAGAACTATATGACATGGGTGTTGGATGCTGAAATCCATTTAGATGCAATGGGTCCTGGAGACGCCATTAAAGATAAAAATAAAGCATCTACCCAAGACTGTGCTAAGACCTTGATTTTCTTGCGCCATCACCTTGATGAAGGGTTGAAAATAGAATATCTCACAGTCAAAGATCCACTTATTTTGTGGAATGGCTTAAAGGAAAGATATGACAACTTAAAGTTGGTTACTCTTGGGCATCCATTAAAGAATTTAAAGATTCTTTTAAATAATGATTTTCTTGCATTTCTTGTTATCAAGGCAAGTTAATTATTAGACCATCACCAACAAAGGTTGGGGTTGAGTCTCCTGCGTTTTTGAAACGTATACAAAGGGACATTTGTGGACCTATTCACCCTCCTAGTGGGTCGTTTAGATATTTTATAGTCTTAGTAGATGCATCATCAAGATGGTGTCATATGTGCCTATTGTCATCTCGCAACCTGGCGTTTGCAAAATTAATGGCACAAATAATCTGATTACGGGCACAATTTTCCGATAATCCAATTAAGTCTATTAGACTTGATAATGCTGTTGAGTTTTCATCCCAAGTATTTAATGATTATTGCTTATCAATTGGGGTAAAAGTGGAACATCCTGTAGCTCATGTTCACACTCAAAATGACCTTGCAGAGTATTTAATTAAACGTCTGCAATTGATAGCAAGACCGTTACTCATGAAAACGAGGCTGCCCACTTTTATTTGGGGTCATGCCATTTTGCATGCAGCAATGCTAGTTCGTCTCAGACCGACAAATTATCATAAATATTCCCTGTTACAATTAGTTTTGGGTCATGAACCTAATATATCCCATTTAAGAATTTTTGGATGCGTAGTATATGTGCCTGTAGCACCGCCATATCGCACCAAAATGGGTCCCCAAAGAAGGTTAGGAATATATATTGGGTTTGAAACGCCTTCAATTATTCGCTACCTCGAAACATTGACAGGGAATTTGTTCACTGCACGATTTTGCAGACTGTCGATTCGATGAGACACTTTTCCCAAAATTAGGGGGAGAAATTGGTGAAACCAAACAGGAAATTTTGTGGGAAAATCCATCATTATCTCATCTTGATCCACATGCCTCTATTTGTGAAAAAAAGGTGCAAAAGATTATCCATTTGCAGAGAATAGCAAATCAAATGCCAGACGCATTTACAGATCGGAAAAGGATAACAAAATTACATATCCCTGCAGAGAATGTTCCAATCCATAATGATGTCCCTATTGGACAATCTTCTAGTGTCATAGCTAATGGGTCAAAAGCACGCCTAAAACGTGGCAGACCATTGAGTTCTAAGGATAGAAATCCTAGAAAAAGGAAAACAAATGATCAAGATGACACTACAAAAGAGTCTCATGAAGAAATCCACGATTTAACCAATCCTGATATTCATGAGGAAATCACTGAGCCTGAGACTCAAGAAAATAAGGAACTATCAATAAATCCAATCGATATTGAAACAAATTTGAATCGATGGATATAGAGGTGGATTATGTCTTTGCATATAATGTTGCATCTAGCATTATTCAAGATAGTGAGGGTCTTCAACCTCAATCTGTTGAAGAATGTCGACAAAGACGTGATTGACCAAAATGGAAAGAAGCAATCCAATCAAAGTTGAATTCACTTGCAAAACGTGAAGTTTTTGGGCTTGTAGTCCAAACACCTAATGGTGTTAAGCCTGTTGGCTATAAATGGGTCTTTGTACGCAAGAGGAATGAGAAAAATGACGTACAAAGATATAAGGCACGCCTTGTTGCACAAGGATTTTCACAAAGTCCTGGTGTCGATTATGAAGACACATATTCACCCGTTATGGATGCTATAACGTTCCGTTATCTCATTAATTTTGATATGAAAAGCTTGACATGCATTTAATGGATGTGGTTACTGCCTACCTTTATGGCTCACTTGATAATGAGATATACATGAAAATTTCCGAGGGATTTAAAATGCCTAACGCACATAATTCAAAGTCCCGAGAAATATTTTCAATCAAATTGCAAAGATCTTTGCATGGTCTAAAGAAATCAGGACGTATGTGGTATAATCGTCTTAGTGAGTATTTATTAAAGGAAGGTTATATCAATGATGCCATTTGTCCATGTATTTTTATAAAGAAATCAACATCAGAATTTGTTGTACTTACCGTATATGTTGATGACATAAACCTTATTGGAACTCCTATAGAACTCCAAAAGGCAATTGATTATTTAAAATAAGAATTCGAGATGAAAGATCTCGGAAAGTCAAACTTATGTCTCGGTTTGCAAATTGAACATATGGCAAACGGGATTTTTGTTCATCAATCTACCTACATAAAAAAGGTATTGAAACGATTTTACATGGATGGAGGACATCCATTAAGTACTCTGATGGTTGTTCGATCACTTGATGTGAATAAGGATTCATTCTGACCTCAGGAAAAGAATGAAGAGCTACTTGGTCCTGAAGTAGCATATCTTAGTGCAATTGGTGCACTAATGTATCTTGCTAATACAACAAGGCCCGACATAACTTTTTCAGTCAATGTCTTACCAAGATATAGCTCTGCTCCTACAAGGAGACATTGGAATGGAAAACACATATTGCGGTATCTAAAAGAAACTACCGATATGGGCTTATTTTATGGCAATAATATAATTGCAGTCCCGATATTGTTGGTTATGCCGATGCTGGGTATTTATCCGATCCACACAAGGCTCGATCTCAAACAGGTTATGTGTTTACCTGTAGAGGCACTGCCATATCTTGGCGATCGACTAAGCAATCAATCGTGGCTACTTCATCTAATCATGCCGAGATAATTGCTATTCATGAAGCAAGTTGAGAATGTGTGTGGTTGAGGTCCATAATACATCTTATTCGAGACAAATGTGGTTTGAAATATGACAAACTACCCACGATTTTGTACGAAGATAATGCAGCACGCATAGTCCAATTGAAGGGAGGATTCATAAAAGGAGATAGGACAAAGCACATTTCACCAAAGTTATTTTTTACTCATGATCTTCAAAAGAATGGTGATATCAATGTGCAACAAATTCATTCAAGTGATAATATGGCTGATTTGTTCACCAAGTCTTTACCGACGTCAACCTTCAAGAAGCTAGTGCAAAAGATTGGGATGCGAATGCTCAAGGATGTGAAATGATGCTCTCTTCAGGGGGAGTTTAATACGTGTTGTACTCTTTTTCCTTTACAAGGTTTTGTCCCACTGGGTTTTCCTTGCAAGGTTTTTAACGAGGCAACGAAAAGGCGTATTATTAAACATGTGTACTCTTTTTCCTTTTCTAGAATTTTTTTTCCAATTGGGTTTTATTCTTGTTAAGGTTTTAACGAGGCACATTACTTACTGAGTAGACATTCAAGAGGGAGCGTTATGAATAGAATTGTAATTAGAGTGAATGTCTATCTTTTAGAGAGTTTTACTTTGTGGCTAAGTCATTTTTCCCCTATAAATAGAAGGGCCTTATCCCATTGTAAATCATCCAAAAAATTCAATAAGAATTTCCTCTCTCTTTCTCTGCAATATTGTTCTTCTTCTTTTATTGTTTTCTTACAAAAATCAATTTGAAAGAATGCTTCTATCAATCTTTGCATTCTAGTTAAAGATAATCTCCATTTTATCTTTTGAGATTAATAAGTAGCTAAGGGGAAAACTCCTCTGCTATCATAAACAGCCCTAGAATCAGGGGCCGAGCTAGGATACGGCATGCAGATTCGGTCAGATCCAGTCCAAATCCTGTATTTATTTTAAATATTTATTGAATATATATAAATTATTAACTTAGATACTAGTAATTTAAACGGTTTAAAACTCTAAATCTATAATAAGCTTCAAATTCTAGCTTCAATGCTGCCTAAAATGTACCTTTATATTTAATATTTCCGATCTATTATTCTTAGAAGTGTATCAAATAGTAGAGAAAAGTAGAAAGACTGAAAATAGTTGTCATTTTCGCTTTTCACTTTGCATGTAAGGATTCTCCACTATCGCAGGACAACGACTTTTCTCGATTTGGACTATACTGAAAACCATTAGGGAGAGAATATCAGACGACTACCACCAAAGATACGGGGGAATGACAAATTCGTCCTTAATTAAGTTTTAAGTTCGACTTTGAAAATTTAAACGAATAAAATTATGGCGAAAGTGCTTTACTTTTTATTAGACTTACCCAACGCGTAATCAAATAATTAGTCGGATATGTAGAGTTCGAATATCAATTTGATGCCAACATAGATTCCGCGGCACAATTCCAAGTAATTCTAGCTCCACCTTTATTTCTTTGTGAATTTGTTTTTTTCACTTGCTTGATAACTAATTAAATTTCCTAAAATATAATATCTGGTAGTGGGATGTGATTTGATTCCATCCAGCCCTACCTGGTACAATTCAAGAATATATTTATCCCGTAATAACAAAATAATATTTTATTTCCAAAAGAATAATGATCATCCCTCAATCTGTAAATTAAACTAGGTAATTACAATAATAACTACCCAGTAAAATCCCACAAAGTGAGGTCTGGGGAGGGTAATGTGTACGCAGACCTTACCCCTACCCCGATAGGGCAGAGAGGCTGTACCCTCGGCTCAGAAAGACGAAAATAAAACAAGAAAAGACAATTCATTAATAATTCCAGTAGAAACCGTAATAGTAACAGAAGCAAAACAACCAAAAGATAAATGACATGCAATAACAGTAATCAAAATCTAAGGCCCGGGGCTAAGATAAACAACAAGGATGGTGTTGGCTCAACATAAACTATAAAGAAAAGATTGACAAAAAGAAAAAAGGCATATCTATGTCACAAGTGGGACAATATTTTTATTCTTTAAGACCCATGTATCATATAAAAATATATAAGTCCAGAGACCTCAGAATTATTGTACCATTATTCTTCCATTAATTACAATAGCTAGGGTAAAAGAACACTTCCATAGATGAACTTAATTTGTTCAAATGGCCACAGAACAAGGTTATGAGCAATCAATTCCCAAGGCTTCATATGAAGTGTTTTTGAGTTTCAAAAGTGAAGATACAGGTAAAAATTTCACTGATCACCTCTCCACAGCTTTAAACCAAGCCGGATTTCGCACGTTCAAAGGTGGTGATGATGAATCCAGAAGTACTGAAGAAGAAGACAGCAGTTCAGATTTTGCTAAAGCAATTCAAGAATCAAAGATTTCTATTATTGTATTCTCACAAAACTATGCGTCTTCTAGTTGGTGCCTAGATCAACTTGTCACAATTCTTGAACGTAAAATGAAGTTTGCATGTACTACAATATTGCCTATATTCTACCATGTTGATCCTTCAAATCTCAGGAAGCACAAGGGAAGTTTTGGGGAAGCATTAAACAGACATGAAGAAAAATTCAAGTCTGAATTAAGACATGGAAATGAAGAAGAGTGGGAGGACAAGTTAAAGAAATGGAAAGATGCACTCAGTCAAGCTGCAGATTTGGCCGGAATGGTCCTTGAAAATCAGTACGTTCGTTTTTTATTAGTAGTTTCAATTTTACTTGTACCCTCTATAAATACGAGGAACCGGGAAAGGGGAAAAAAGGTTTATAACCAAAAGGAAATGAAGGGAGATTATAACAATTAATTATCATTTAATTGATGTAAGTAGTTTTTTTCATATGCGATCATTTTTATTTTGGAAAAGGTGGGTGATATGAATAGGAAAGGAAAAATGACACTGTATAGCCGCGGTAAAAAATAATAGCCGAAAAAATGTATAAAATTTGTATATTTTTATATATATACACTTTCTGTATGTTATATACAAAAATTATACAAGTTTTATATACTTTTTCAGCTATCAAATATAAATAGTTTCTGGCGCGGACTAAAAATGATAATACCCCAATAGAAAAGCTGAAAGATTACTTTGCCATATATTCTCTCATATTCTGATTGTGTAAATAAATCCTTATGCAGCTCTTTTTTTTTTTTTCTTTTTCTTTTTTATGTATAAATAGGTGGTTTTGCAAATTTAACCAAGAATTTAGGCGTTTTCTTATTTTTCTTTCCTTTTTTGACAAAAAACATTACTAAAATTTTTATAAGTAACATGTTAATTAGATGTGTGTGTCTATATGTCTATACACACACAGACACACTTAACAGATAAGATGAGAAATTACGAAAAGAATGTACTTATGCAAAATGATATGATAATTATCACTTTCTTAGCTAGTAATAAAGGGAATTGACAACGACAAGAAATAATATTTGCAGTGATAATGTTTGTGGCGACCTCTTTAGTCACCACCAAAAGTAGCGACAAATAAATTAGCTTTTGTCACAATGAAGCTCGCTACAAAAAGTAAACAAATGCACCAAAGCCGAAGTGTAGATATAAGGTAGGTAGCAGAGACATATAGTGTGGTGACTCGCACTAACCTTTGGTGATGATTAAAGAGGCAAATAACATTGTCACTGAAAACCTTATTTACTATAGTGGAATATGTACAATCTAAGTATCTAACAACCGACTAGTGATAACATCTCAAATCCGAATTAATCGTGGAAACTTTCAAATAGCAAATCCTAGAAATGTCCAATACGACATGAACGAGTAGAGAGAGAAATTTTATTAATGTTGTATAATGTCAAATGAATTAATTTCTTATAAAAGAATCATCTAACTATATATAGACAAAGCAATTGGGTCGGGTCACTTAAATAAAAAAGGATCCGCGACCATTCTACTAAGGAGGAGGCTGGTCCTGGACTAATGCCTTAGTGGGCTGCTCATTGGACCTTTGCAATGTGTTGGGCTGAACAGCCCTAACTCTAACCCCCCCCCCCCCAAGCTGGAAGGGGAGCCTATTCCAAGCTTGAAAATGAAACTCTACAACTGAAGGCCTACCAAAGGCTTGGTGAAAATATCAGCCAATTGAAAATTTGTAGAAATGGAATGGAGACTGGTGATACCAGTAGATAGTGCATTCCGCACGAAATGACAATCGACCTCGATGTGTTTGGTGCGCTCATGAAATACGGGGTTCTTGGCAATATGAACTACTGCTTGGTTGTCACAATGTACAGCAACAGGAGCAAGATCAGAGACACCAAGTTCACCAAGTAGTCTGGGAATCCAAGTGATTTCAGCAACCAAAAGCCTCAAAGCTCTATATTCTGCCTCGGCAGAAGACAAGGCAACAGTAGGCTGCTTCTTGGATTTTCAAGACACCGGGCAGCCACCAAGAAACAAGACAAATCCACTAACAGACTTACTTGAATCAGCACAAGAGACCCAGCTAGAATCAGAGTAGCCTTTAAGAGAGAAATCTGAAGTACGGGGGAGAAGTAAGCCCAAAGAATTGGTGCCAGACAAGTATCTTAACACATGTAGAGCAACTTCAAAATGAGGAACCCTCAGTTTGGACATAAACTGGCTCAAGTGTTGAACTGTGTAGGACAAATCAGGTCGAGTGTGCTGGAGATAGTTCAATTTACCCACAAGTCTTCTATAAGAAGATAGATCATGCACCAACTCACCAATATTAGCAGACAACTTCACATGAGGAGCAACCACAGATGAAACAGCAGAGTGATGGAATTCAGAGAGCAAATCCAAAATAAATTTCTGTTAACTAATCAAAAATCCAGAAGAATCCCTAACAATTTCCAAACCAAAAAAATAATGGATCTCCCCAAGATCCTTGATTTTGACTTCACTATCCAGAAAGATCTTCAGAGTGTGAATTTCAAACAAATCATCCCCAGCCACCAAAATATCATCAACATATACATCAATCACAGTTAACTTTCTATTAGCTAGCTTGGTAAGCAAGGAATAATCATTCAAACTAGGATTAAAAAACTTGGATTGAAGAGCTGAAGATAATTTGGCATACTATTGCTTGGAGGCTTGTCTAAGCCCATAAAGTGGCTTATTAAGCTTGCAAGAAAGAGAGGAAGAGGGGGAAATAGAAGCATAAGAAGTTGAAGAAAGTGTCCAGGAGGAATTTTCATAAAGACCTCCTCATCTAAGTCTACATGCAAGAATGCATTGTTGACGTCTAACTAAAATACAGTCCAATTCCTTTTGATTGCTACAGGCAATAGACATCTGATAGTTGTGAGTTTCATAACAAGAAAAAGAGTTTCAGTAGAATCCACACCTTCTTGTTGGCTATCCCCCATAATAACTAGCCTAGCTTTATACCTTTCAATAGACCTATCAGCTTTTTGTTTAATCTTATAGACCTATTTACAGGGGATAGCTCTCTTCTTCCTGGAAGAGGAACAATATCCCAGGTGTTAGTAGCCTTTAGAGCTTAAAATTCCTTCATCATGGCTTCCTGCCATGCAGGATTAGAGACAGTCTGATGATAGAACTGAGGTTCTAGCAAACAAATGTCATCAGATATAGGAGAGGAGATAGGGCCAGAAACAGAGGTGCACACATAATCATTCAGATAGATGGGAGTTTGGTGATGTTTAGTAGATTTTCTGAGGGGAGGATTCTGGTTAGAAGGATGTGAAAGTGAACAGACATAACTATTCAGGTTGGTAGGAGTTTGATGATGTCCAATAGGACTTCTCAAAGGAGAATCTTGAACAAGAGCATGTGCGCATAAGGAAGGGTGAAGAGCATTAAAATGAACACTACTAGATGAAGAGGGAATATCAGGGGAATGGAGGAAAGGAGGAAACAGATTTGCAGGAGAGTGATCAGACTAAGGAAAGACATGTTCATGAAATACTACATCCCTAGGAGAAATATACTCAAGGAAGAAAGGTTTAGAAGTTTGTAAGCTTTCGTTCCAAGACTATAGCCAATAAAAACAGAGGGTATAGTTCTGGACTTAAACTTGTCCCTATAGGGTTTAGGCACATTATCAAAGCAAAGGTAACCAAAAGTCTTCAAATGATTGACGAGTGGAGAACTACCATGTAAAAGCTCAAATGGTGACTTGTTATGAAGTAAAGGAGAAGGAAATCTGTTTATCAAGTATGTGGCAGTTAACACACAATCACCCCAATATTTAACTAGTAATTTGGATTGAAAAAGAAGGATACGCGACCATTTTAGAAAGTTCCACAAATTCTTAAAAAAGGCTCTCAAAACATCAGAGAAAGTCACCAAAGATTGAAACTTGATCACCGATTCAATCAACACCGGAGGAAAGAGGAAAATGCGATTCACGTGTTGAGGGTACCAACGGAAGAAAGCCCTCAGAGCAAGTCACCGAAATTGTGGCTCTGATACCATGATAACATCTCAAATCCGAATTAATTGTGGAAACTTTGAAATAGCAAACCCTAGAAATGTCCAATACGAATGAACGAGTGAGAGAAATTTTATTAATATTGTATAATGTCAAAATGAATTAATTTCTTGCAAAAGAATCATCTAACTATATATATACAAAATAATTGGGTCAGGTTACTTAAATAAAGAAGGATCCGCGACCATTCTACTAAGGAGGAGGCTGGTCCTGGATTAATACCTTAGTGGACTGTTCATTGGGCTTTTGCAATGTCTTGGGCTGAACAGCCCCAACTCCAACAACTAGAGCCATTAAAGAATATTTTTGAATTTGTCATGAAATTCACTCCATGTCCATGATCTTTTCAATCCAAGATCTTTTAGATTTCTATTTTATTGCACAGCGTATAAGAAGACAATCTGCAAGAATTATAAGTTGATCTTAAGTGTAAAAAATAACTATATAATGAAGTCATTGAGAAGACAATTACAGGTAACTATATGTGTAATATACATTCAATCGTAACGTGCTATAACAAATCAAAATTACATTGACAGTATAAAAATTCTTTACATTATCAGTATACATTATAATAACTTAAATCTTTTTATGTTTGCTTTGTGTAATGGATGTTTCAGGCATGAATCCCATTTCATCAAGAAGATTATTAATGTTATCAGTACTAGACTAAGTCGGCCAGCCTTGTATATTGCTTCTTGCACAATTGGAATACATCGTCGTGCTAGATCCATTAATTCCTGGGTTCAACATGAATCTAATACTGACATTGGAATACTCCTGGTTTGTGGTATTGGTGGAATTGGAAAGACAACTCTTGCCAAATTTGTTTACAACTTAAACTTTGGATATTTCGAATGCAGTTGTTTTTTGGCAAATATTAGAGAAACTTCAAAACTCCCTAATGGTGTTATCACATTGCAAAAGCAACTACTTTCTACCCTTCTCAAACATGAAAAAGTAAATATATCAAGTGTTGATGAAGGAATTATTAAGATAAGGAATGCTTTATGTTATAGAAAAATACTTCTTATTCTTGATGATGTTGATGAGCCTGATTTAGTTGAAGCAATATTTGATATTAAAGATTGGTTTGGTTTTGGAAGTAAAATAATTGTGACAACTAGACACAAGAATTTATTAAGACCTCAATTAGGTCATGACGTACATGAAGTTGAAATTTTGTACACAACTGAAGCAACTGAGCTATTTAATTGGCATGCATTTGGGGAAAACAATGCAAGTGAAGGTTATTACAAAGAGTATTCAGAGGAAGTGATTGAATGGTGTAGAGGACTTCCATTAGCTATTCAAGTTATCGGTTCTTCGTTGGCTGGAAAATCGAAGGATGTGTGGAGAAGTGCAATAGAAAAGTTGAGAGATATTCCCACTAATAAAATTGTTGATAAATTGAGATTGAGTTATGAATTGTTGGATGATGATCATGATCAGAATTTGTTCCTTCATCTTTGTTGTTTCTTTGAGGGGATGAAAAAAGATTTTGTGGTTAGGATACTAGATAAATGTGACTTTTACACATTGGTGGGGATTCAGAATCTCATCGATAGAAGTTTAGTGACAATCGGATATGTAAATGAGATAACAATGCATCAGTTGGTACGAGATATGGGAAGAGACATTGTTCGTCGAGAAGCACCTGTGGAGCCTGGAAAGCGTAGTAGACTCTGGCACCACACAGATTCTTACAATGTCCTAAGAGGAAAAACAGTAAGGAACTAAACATGTTCTTATTTGAATAGTTTGTCACTTTATTAATTCCAAGCGCGTTTTTTTCAATAACAGTGATGTCTGAATCAGCTTGGTGCATCTCGACTATTCCACTGATTACGTACTACCTCTCACCACAGCTCTGCCCGCCAAGCTGGATTGGGCAGATGACGAGAAATCACCTGCAATTTCTGTACCTGGAACTTGTTTCTAATTATGTCTATTTTTTATTCTTTTGTGATTTCTATTAGGGAACAGAGGCAGTGCAAGGGATGGTACTTGACATGCGTATGATTAAGAAAGTTAAGTACTCTAGCCCCTTAATACCAGTGAGACAAAATGCAATTGGCTTTTTCACTTGGAGTACAAAAGGCAATTCTAGTTCAGAAAATGTTAGAACTGATGCCTTTGAGAAAATGCACAAGCTAAGATTTATCCAATTCAACAAAGTTCAAGTGGATGGAAGTTTCAAGAATTTCCCTAAGGGATTGAGATGGCTGTGTTGGAGTGGATTCCCAGAGGAGTGTATACCAAATGAGTTTCCAATGGGAAGTGTTGTTTCCATTGACATGCAATACAGCAGCTTGAAACAACTTTGGAAAGGATTCAAGGTATTGTCTATTCATAGTCCAGTGTTTCTATCCGGCCCAATCCGCCTATGTTTAGGCACGTTATATTTTCATGGGCTAAATGAGTCGCGATCTTTGACTGACTTAATTTCTTTGTCTTGATCTATTAGTTTCTCCCATTCCTAGAGATACTGGATTTAGGCCATTCCTATGACCTCATCACCACACCGGATTTCTCGGGCCTTTCCAATCTTGAAAGGTTGATACTTGAACATTGTACCAAGTTAATCCATGTTCATGAGACCATAGGATGCTTGCAAAAACTCGTGATTTTGAACCTTAAAGACTGCCAGAAACTAAAGAGCCTTCCTGATAGCATATGTGAGTTAAAATGTCTTGAGACACTTAATATCTCAGGCTGCTCAAATATTGAATATCTGCCAACAGAACTGGATAAATTGACTTCACTAAAGGAGCTTTATGCTGATGGGATCTCTATGAATAGGGTGGCAATATCTACTGAATTGGGGTCCCAAACTTGGTATTCATCTTTATATTCTTGGGCCTTGAAAGGAAGGGTAATATCCCCTAGTAAAATTCAAGAAATCCATTTTCCTAGGTCCTTGCATGTGTTAAACATTGCAAAATGCAATTTATGTCCAGATGCTTTTAACAAGGTTGATTTAGGCATTATGAGCTTGTTAGATTGGCTAGATTTGGGAGGAAATCCAATTTGCAATCTACCAGATAGCATCAAGAATCTTACAAGACTTAAAACTCTTAACATCGCGTACTGTACGAAGATCAAGTATCTTGACGGATTACCATCAAATATTAGTGACTTAAATGCTGATGGATGCATATCCTTAAAGAAAGTAGCAGCTTCTTGTGCAAAAGGACATCCAGTAGAAGGTTATTTAAATTGCATCAATCTTGTTGAAGCTGAGGGTGTGTTCAAGTTAGAGCCACTGGAAAATGCAGATGCTCAAGTTCTTGCCAACATGGGAATTTCGACTTTGGAACCTATAAAAAGTAGTATTAAGGTTTCTCTGGTATTTGGCCGCGCGTACAATGCTGGAAGAGTTAGAAATGAATACCCAAGCTGTGTCCAAGATGATATAGCAAGTTTATTTTCACTTGAGCCTAAGAAGTTTCCTCCACAGGTCTGTCTCTCTCACCTCTCTTTTCACATAATTATGGTAACAAGCTTGTTGTCTATGAAGATAATAATCAGACCAGTGATAAACATGATAAGCATTACTTAGTCACCTGGTAAAAATGGTAACTAAATGTCAGTGTATATAACTTAAATCGCTAATTTCCTGTCTCAGATATTGTACCACCGTGGCGTTTTCTCCACTTTTTTACCCGGAGAAAGCGTGCCCAATTGGTTCAGCTACAAATTCACTGATGCAGCAGATGTATATTGCACCCTACCAAATGTTGATAGCCATAGAGTAATAAGTGGTTTGAGCATTTGCTTTGTGTATACATGTCCTGAAGCATACACCAACGTTGGATTGTACGACGGACCAGCCATTTGGGTAAGAAATCAGACAAAAGACTTAAACTGGGCTCTTTATCCTGCTTGGTTTGGCCTTCCAGAGGATGAAATTAGTGGGATGATGTGGTTTAGTTATTGGAAAGTTGAGACTTTGTTTCAACAAGGAGATGTGATTGAGGTTATGGTGTCTCCTCAGTTTGCTGCATTTAAGGAGCTTGGTGTTAAAATCTTTTACCTCGACGAGCAAACAGAGAATATTTCTGATCATTCTAATGTGTGTAAAAGTAGCAGCCCGTTTGAAGATATTCTAAGGAACCACTTTAGTGATGAAGAACGTACTTATTACATTTGCACTTGAGATTTGCAATAGTCTGTATTTGATTGATCAAAGCACTTGAACAATCCTTCTATGACATAAGAAGCAAATTTAGAATCTAAAACTAGGTTAAGAATGAGTGTAATCTTATTACAGTATGATATAGATCTTTTTTATTCCCACATAATGCGGTCTAGGGTGGGTAATATATACGCAGCCTTACCCCCTACCTTGTTGAGATAGAGAGGCTATTTCCAATAAACCCTCTGCTCAGGAAAGCATGTATCACATTAATGAAGAGAAAATAAGAAGTGCAACAACGAGAAGCCGTGTAAAAGTAGCATAAATAACAATCAGATAGTAATCTGACTAAAATGACAGAAACAACATGTAGTCATAGAAATCTAATACCAACTAACTCAACACACTTCATCCCTTGAAAATTTAAACTCCATTGGAGCACATCTTTTTCAGCTTAGATAGCAAACATCTAAGTTTGGAGTTGGGAGTGATTTGGAGTAGTTTCCCAACGAAACAACTGTTTTTCTATGAAGGAAAACATAGATTATGGCGAGTTTTATATCGCCCCCCTCTAGCATTCTGGTGGTTTGTGAATGGAGATTGTAGGCCAAAACTCCTCTACGTATATGACTGATGATCAAGTCCCCATTTACTATGCCAATGGGTCTTACATATGGATTCCAAGGACTATCAATGTAGGACACAGGATTAAAGTTTACATCATCAATGCGGATTGTCCTACTTAGACTCCAGTTGTAGTAGTCTTCCAATTCCCATATATCTATTGTTGCCTTACCAAAGCTAGAAAATGCAAACTTGCAGAATATTACTTGACCTCTCATCTCAAATAGGTGCATATGAGCATGTATATATAGAGAAAGGTAGCCGCCACATTCTTCCCCTGGATGAGATGTGATATGAAAATTCTCCTTTTCAATGTCAAACACCATTATAGATGTTTTGCAAGAAACAGGACAAGTATCACAATCACAAAAACATAATCTGTCAGCCATCCAATATATAGCTTCCTTTGTCCATGTTGGAGATCCCACTGATCTTGGCGCTATATGGGGGACGACATCACTAACCTTTTCCCATCCTGTTTCTACTTCGATAACATCCAAATTATCAGATAGCAATAAGCTAAGTTTAAGTATCTTGAATTCCACAAAACTGAGCGATTTTGTATTAACATATATCCAGATGGCATAATATTCCTTGGCCACTGGATGGAAATAGAATGCCTGGATTTGACCGAATGGGAGATCAAAGGTAACTAGTTCTTCGGTGATAGGGTTTAGGATATAATAGGAATAATCTTCTATAAAAAAGAGCAAACCGTGGTAGGAAAAGAGAAGGTCAGGCACGTTATAAATTTCGTCGGCCGATAGCGTTGAACTCACTGAAATTTGTTTACTACTTCTCTTCTCCGGGAGAAATAGGAGTTTCATCTGATAGCGATTACTCCGCCGAGTTAGGTCTTTCTGCTGGAGAATGATAGTGGAAACAGCACCAAGATTCAGATACATGTAGTTGAAAAATGGGGTTGAGATTAAAGAATTCCAGTGCCTGCAGACTTGTCGGCAACGGAGTAAGTCTTCTGCTGGGAGTTTACTCAGAATATCAATCAGTATATCATCCGGAATATGTTTACTGTGCTCTCTTGGTTTACGAGATAACCAAAACCAGACCATTATTACTTATTAGGCCACAAGTTCTAAGCAATATTCAGATCAGATATCTTAGGAGAAGAAAGAGAAGAGGCTGGAAACAAATACTAGTAGTGAACTAGTAGTGATCCAGGAATGATAAAAACTCATTCTCCTAATAAGTAGGAAAGGATACTACAGCTTCTAGAATACAAATAATAGTAGGACTTTTGTTCAATTGGTCACAACCCACATATATATACGGCATCTACATCTGTTTTCTTGTTTGAAACCTACCAGCCCTGAACTCTAGACCTAGTAGTGAGGGTGGCAAATAGGCGAGTGAGGTCGGATATGGCGGCTTGAAAAGTAGTTTTCGGATTGGTAATTGAAAAATAGCAGCATTTATAAGGATTGAAAAATAACCTTATTTTGCTGAAACACGAAAAGTTTTAGCATAATATGCAAGATATGGAGCTTCTGCTCATAACTTCGAGCATATTATGTTGGAACTGCAACACACAGAAAGTTCTATTATAATATGTTGGATTTTAGAACTCATGCATATAAAATTCCCGCATATTATGTTGGAACTCCACATGGAAAGTTCCAGTCCATTATGCTGGAAGCTCATTTGTAAAAAATTCGAACTTAAGCATATAATGCTGGAAGCTCATTTGGCAAAAAAATCGAACTTAAGCATAAAATTTAGCCACTTTACATGAAAAAGTGGCTAAATTTTGAAACTGTGACTATTTTTCAATTACTAGATGCAAAATTTGGCTATTTTTTTCCCTTGAAAGGGATAATGAAAAGAAATATCCGACCCGCTAATTTGACACCCCTGTAGCTAATTTGGAACATGAACGGATCCAAAAACTATTTGACTAGAATGAGAAGAAGAGAAATAGCTATTTCAACTAGCTTTTATTGACAAGTGAAGCTTGCTGAGTTGGTAAAAGCTCCTCCAGCCACAACTGTTAGGTCTTGGATTCGAGTCACGCTGAAGGAGAAGTGTGAAAATCTTAGATCCTTCTAAATTAGGAGGGGTATATTTTGCCCATTGTTAAGCCGTTTGGCCATATATTTTGCCAAAATTTATTTGGATTTTTTTGGCAAATACATGTTTGTTCATAAATTTTATCCATATTTTGGCAAATTTCCAAAACCCAAATCTCATAACCAGCTTAAGAGGTGATTTTGGCCCAAAATATTACTATTATATTTTTTAAAACTTGCCCCAAACTTTTGTATTTTATAAAAGAGCCAACCATTTATTATTATGTAGTTCATTATAAAAATGATAATTTTGTACCAAATCTATTTATGTTCAGGACTATGGTTTGCGATAATATAATGAATGTTATTGATGAAGGTATTATTGGATATTTGTGAAATTTTTAGAACTTGTGGATATAAGTCATGTTTCATGTTGTTTCAAAAAAAAAAGTGAAATATGTTTTGAAAATCGATGTCCAAACACATTTTCATTTTCAAACCAAACATCACCTAAATCAGATTTCAAAATAAATTTGGAAATCTATGGCCAAACTCTAGCTTATTTGGGTTTTTCAAAAAACACTAGCTTTTTCTTTTTACCCATTGTTAAGCCGTTTGGCCATATATTTTACCAAAATTTATTTGGTTTTTTTTTGTAAATACATGTTTGTTCATAAATTTTAACCTTATTTTGGCATTCAAAACCCAAATCCCAAACCAGCTTAAAAGGTGGTTTTGGCCCAAAATATTACTATTACATTTTCTAAAACTTGCCCCAAACTTTTGTATCTTATAAAAGAGCCCACCATTTAATATTATGTAGTTCATTATAAAAATGATAATTTTGTATCAAATTTATTTATGTTCAGGACTATGGTTTGCGATAATATAATGAATGTTATTGATGAAGGTACTATTGGGTATTTGTGAAGTTTTTAGAACTTGTGGATATAAGTCATGTTTCATGTTTTTTCAAAAAAAAAAGTGAAATATGTTTTGAAAACCGATGTCCAAACACATTTTCATTTTCAAACCAAACTTCACCCAAATCAGATTTTTTAAAATTTGGGAATCTATGGCTAAACGCTAGCTTAAATTATACTTTTT